CTTGCCCACCTCTCTCTTTGTCTCTCTCTCTCTCTCTCTCTATATCTTTGTCTTCGTCTCTCTACTCTCCTTCTCTGGTTTTTTTTTCAATCGATTTCTTCATTTTGATGTTCTCTATTTTTTTTTGTGTTTTCTTGTTGTATAGAGTTTTAATGGAATTCATCAATGGATTTCAATCGTTTTAACTTAGCAATTTTCTTTCATGTAATTGGTGTTCAAATTGATATTGTCAATCAATAAATTTTGAAGGTGTTTGACTCTCCACCATTAACAGTCATTAAATGCTTTGAAACTTTGAATTCGAATTTGGATTTTCAAAAACTATTATTTGTTTGGATTGGGTGTTGTTGCAAATAATTGGGAATATTGTTTGGAGTTTAGAGAGTAAGTTCTGATTGGAATTTTAGAGAGGAAGAAGCACACAGCACAGATAAAATATATACAAAGACATATTGTATAAAATTTGTACAAATATTGTATTTAAGTTGTATGATATTATAGTTGTATATAACTGGGTAGAAATAATATATGAAAGTTGTAGATAAGTTGTAAATAAGTTGTAGTATAAATTAGATACAAAATATACAAAAGACATATTGTATAAAATTTGTATAAAAAGTGTATTTAAGTTATATGATATTGTAGTTGTATTTAACTGGGTAGTAAGTTTATATTTTCCATCTATTAGCTTTCTGATTCTTTTTCTTTCTTATAAATTCGGTTTATGATGAGTTTGTGTTATTTTTCGTGGATAGTTTGGTGAAATATTATTAATTGAGAATGATCTGTTTGCCTTTTTCTCCCAATTAATTGGTTTTTTTATCTCCCAGTTATTGCTTCTTTAATATGCAATTAAAAAAGTAATGAATTGTTGTAACTATTGTCAATTTTTTTCGTAGATGTCCACAGAGAGATGCAATTGTTGTCAATAACTTACTACTATTAATTGGTTAAATTTTCTGCCTTCTCATTTTAAAGTGCAGCTTCGATAGCCTGCGCACCTATTTTAGCAAATCGTTCTGTTGTTTCTATAATTCTTAAAAGCTTAAATTATATTGGGTTCTTCTTATATATATATATATATATATATCAGAACATATTAATTTATAACTACTAATTAAAGACGAGGCGTGTGCCCTACCTGTAACGACCCGAGCGGTCGTTTTGAGCATTTATACTTTGCTCGCCAGTTCTCGGGCATGGCTAAGCCTGTATGATATATTATGACTTATGTAAATCGTCGGCTTGGTTTTTAGGTTAATCAGAAAAGATATGGAAGAATGATTCTCAGCTTGAAGCTTTAAATTTGAAAGGTTTGACCAAGTTTTGAATTTTTAGTATTTGATCTCAGATTTGGATTTTTATGATTTAGTTAGCTCCGTTAACTGATTTTGGATTGAGGAGCGTGTTCGGAATGTAATTTGGAGGCACGTGGTAGATTTAGGTTTGAATTGGCGAAAAATGGAAATTTGGAGTTTTCCGATCGGCTGTGGAAATCTTGATATCGGAGTCCGAATGGAATTCCGAAAGTTGGAGTAGGTCCGTCGTGTCCTTTGTGACGTGTGTGCAAAATTTCAGGTCATTCGGATGAGGTTTGATAGGTTTTTACATCGTTTGCGGAATTCGAAAGTTTTGAAATCCTTAGGCTTAAATCCGAGGGCAATTTGGTGTATTGATGTCATTTTGAGTGTTCCGAAGATTGGAATAAGTTTGAATGGTGATAGGTGANTATATATGGATCGAGCTGCACATTGCATCGATATATAGATCGGGCTACACGCTGCAGTGATATTGGATCGGGCTGTACGCTGCAGCGATATAACGCTTGGGTTGTAGGAGCCCCTATGGAGTCTGCACACCCCCAGTAAGCGCAGTCGACTATACATTTATAGATCGGACTGCACGCCGCAGCGGTTATTATACGGTACCTATTGAGCGTGAGTGTTGAGTGTGAGTGCTGGTTGATGAGTGTTGAGTCACGAGTGACTGAGAGGCTTGCCCGAGGGGCTATATATGAGTGATATTTGCCCAAGAGGCTATATATGAGCGACACTTCACCCGAGGGGCTTGTTTATGAAATTACTGTTTTCACTCCTCTTCTTTTATATTGATCCTCTACTGAAAACTGTTGAACAAAAATGCTTTTATATATCTTTCATTGAAACTGGAGTTTCACGAGATATCTTGACTAGGGTACTGATTTAGCCTTTATTTTTTTTTTATTGAGACTTTATATTGGGAACTTTATGTGATTTTACTGCTCGTCACTACACTCAGCCTTTATTTACCTTTGTTACTTACTAAGTTGGCGTACTCACATTACTCTCTGGACCTTGTGTGCAGATCCAGGTATTTCTGAGCCCTATAGCGGGCGTTGATTACTCAGTGGAAGGTCCATCGGAGTTAGTAAGGTAGTTGCTTGGCGATCACAGCCCTGCTTTTCTCCCTCATATCTTATAGATGTTCAGCTGCTTTCACTCCTTTGTCATTTTAGTATACTGTATTAGACTTGTACTCTAGATGCCCATGAATAGTGACACCCCGATGTCGGGCTTCCTTTCCACACTGTTGACTTGTTTTAAACACTTTATAAAGGTTTTTTGTTAAATAACTTTGATCTTATCCTAAGAATGAAATTATTGATTGGTTTGGGATTGTATCGGTTGGCCTAGTTCCGTGATAGGCGCCATCACGACCGGGTTGATTTTGGGGTCGTGATACCACCCCAACTGTGACGACCCGACCAGTCGTCTCATGAGTTACCGCTCCGTTTCCCCCATTTCTGCTTCCTTATGCTTCGTTATCCGTGTTTTGTAATATCGGGTTAGTCGGATCGAGTCAGGAATGATTCTGGTAAGGTTTGAGACACTTAGTCTCTTTTAAGAAGGTTGAGTTGGAAAAAGTCAACCGGATGTTGACTTATGTGTTAGAGAGCTCGGATATGAGTTCCGATGGTTCGGTTAGCTTCGGGAGTTGATTTATGGCTTAGGAGTGCGATCGGAATGAGTTTTGGAGGTCCGGAATAGAATTAGGCTTGAATTGGCGAAATTGATATTTTGGCGATTTCCGGTTGATAGGTGAGATTTTGATATAAGGGTCAGAATGGAATTCCGAGAGTTTTAGTAGCTTCATTGTGTCATTTGGGCTGTGTGTACAAAATTTCAGGTCATTCGGACGTGTTTTGGTTGGATTTTTGATCGAAAGCGTATTTCGGAAGATTTTTAGAAACTTAGGCTTGAATCCGATGTGTTTTGGGTAATTTGATGTTGTTTGAGGTGTTTTGATGATTGGAACAAGTTTGAATAAGGTTTTAGGATGTGTCGGTGCCTTTGGTTGAGGTCCCGGGGGCCTCGGGTGAGTTTCGGGTAGTCATTCGGATCATTTTTTGGAGTTTGAAAGTTGCAGAAATTGCAGGTTCAGTGTTGCAGAAAAATTGCCCTTCGCAATCGCGTAGGGTGTATCGCGATCGCGTAGAAGGATTGAGGAAGGCCAGGAAATAAGCCTTCGCGTTCGCGAGAGGGGGCTTCGCGCTCGCGGAAGGTTGGGAAGCAGTGCATCGCGTTCGCGAGAAAGCACTCACGATCACTTAGAGTAATTTGGGTCTGAGGGGTTCAAGGTCATTTGTCCATCGCGTTCGCGTAGGTGTTATCGCGTTTGTGAAGGTTTCGGTGGAGGAAGCATCGCGTTCGCGATGGGTGTTACGCGTTTGCGTAGAGGAAAATTTGGTCAACGCGAGGGTTTGACCGCGTTCACGAAGAAGGGAAGTCAGACCTGGGCAGAATGTTTTTAATTCGTTTCATCTGCGATTTTGGGGCTCATTTCCTCCATAGTTGGTCATTTTGGGAGATTTTTGAAGGAGATTGAAGAGGGATTCAAGGGGAAACGTTTGGAGGTAAGAATTTCGGACTTAAACTCGATTCTATTGTGAAATCCACCTAGAAAATCATGGAAACTTAAACTAAAAATGGAAGAACTAGGGCTTGGAATTTTGGACTTTTGATTGGGGATTTGGAGGACCATTTGGGGTCGGATTTGAGAACTTTTGATATGTATGAACTCGTGGGGAGATAAGGAACCCGTTGATGTGAAAATTTCTGAGTTTCAAGAAGTGGGTCCGGGGCTCGGGTTTTGCTAATTTCGGGATTTGTGCCCTTTATTGATTGTTTTCGCTTGGGCTTTGTTCCCTTAGCATATTTTGATGTCCTCGTTCTGATTTTGGATAGATTCGACGCGCGTGGAGGACGATTCGAGGGGCAAAGGCGTCGCGAGCTAGAGATTTAGCCGGTTCGAGGTGAGTAATGATTGTAAATGATGCTCTGAGGGTTTGAAACCCCGGATTTGCACATCGTAGTGCTATATTGAGGTGCGACACGCGCTTGATGACGAGCGTAGGGTCGTATACTATTGGGGATTGTGACTTGGTCTGTCCCGATTGATGGTTTTACCGCGTATTTGACTGAAACTTATTTGCTATCATCATGACTTGAGCTGAATGCCATATTTGGGCTTCGTGCTAACTATTTGAACCATTCGGGGATTTTTATCTACTATTTTCTCACTGTTCTGACTTATTACTTGAACGCAGTCCTGATAATTTCCACTGTTTTACTATTCAGCCATTCTTTCTCAGTTTTAAAGACTTAAATGATATTTTAAATGATGTTTGGGCTGAAAACACTGTTTTACTATTGCCCGAGGGGCTTGTGATGATTTTTGGACTGAGTAAGGCCGAGGGCCTATATTGTGAGGGACATTGATACTGATTTGAGGCCGAGGGACTGATATATATATATACGCCACGAGGTGGCTTGATTGATATGAGGCCGAGGGCCTAGATTTGATGCCACGAGATGACTTATTATTGCGCTTGGGCCGTAAAGGGCCCCTCCAGGAGTCTGTACACCCCCAGTGAGCGCGGGTACCCATTTGTGATCTGAGATTGAGCCCGAGGGGCTGGTACTGTACTGAGATCTAGCCCGAGGGGCAGAGTTGTGGACACTAAGCCCGAGGGCGAACTTCTATCTGTTTACTTTACATTTATTACGTGTCAATTACCTGTTTTACCTGTTGAAAGGAGATTTTACTTGATATTTCACTAATTTACTGTTTTCAAATGATGTTTTACTGCTTCGTTATAGCATGCCTTGTGCTTTACGTATTTTCTTACCTTCAGTCATTATTTATGTTTGTTACTCACTGGGTCGGAGTACTCACATTATTCCCTGCACCGTGTGTGCAGATTCAGGCATCACTGGTTCCGCTCCTGAGTGCTGATTTCCCCAGTTCCAGGCGGTATTCGGAGACTATGAGGTAGTTGTTGGCGTTTGCAGCCCCGTGTCTCTACTATCTTGTCATTTCTATGTCTTTCAAATATTTATACTAGATATTGGATTTAGCAGACTTGTATTAGGGTCCATAGATGCTCATGACTTGTGACACCCCGGTTAGGGCTGTGTCGGGTTGGATTTCCGCATTGTTATCTATATTTCCGCTATTCAGTGCTATTAAATCATGTTTAGACTATGTTACTACTGAAGCACGGAAGAATTGAAATCTTAGATCAAAACACTATGTATGGATGGTATGAACTTCCTAAACATGAGTTTTATACAAGGTATCAGACTAATGAATCTATTTTCTTTGTGATTTTGTGGTTAGTTTTAGAATCTAGAAAGAATCCGGAAAAAGCTAAGAATTCACTTTTTATGCTATTTAACTGTTTAAAAATGACAATTTGGTTCAATTGGCTGGCCTTGTCTTCACGAGAGGCGCCATCACGACCGGGTTCGGGGTTAGGGTCATGACACCAACTTTTGATATATTTTTTTCTGTTCTTACAGATATTAGCTTAAGGATAAAAAGAAAAAAAGACTGAAACAATTAGCAAATAGAAATCCCTAAATATAAGTTATAGCTGGAGAGAAGAGGGTAGAGATGAGAGAAAAAAGAAAAAAAAGTATAACTTGCTTGAAGGCACTAATAATGAATTGAGAGCCTTTTAAGGTGGATTGTATGTATTTTGTAGCTAAAACGTGTTCAGGTCGGGTAAATACAAAAACTTGGATATTTTTCGAAATAAAATTTCAAATAGTATATAAGAACGAAAAATTCCAAAAATAAATGGCTTCTCTAATCATATAGAGTGCCAAGTCACCTGTCTTAGGCCCTATTTATATTTTTAGAATTTATTATAACATTTTTTCTTATACTGTATCTCTTATTTATGTCATTACTAGATCGACGCTGGCCCGTGCTAGCACGGGCCCAATAATTTAAACGCTGATATACATGTGAAAATAGTATTGGCTAGCCAATTTTCGAATTCGGAATTATAAATAGCTAGCATTTGCGAAGTTATTGAAAAATAGCCACTATTTAGCTGAAACACCGAAAGTTCCAGCATAATATACTGGAGGGCTCCTCCGTATAAACTTTTAGGATAATATGTTGGAACTCCGATACATTATGAAACTCCAGCACATTATGTTAGAATCTCATATGTAAAAAATTCGAACTCCAGTGTATTATGCTGGAATTTTACAGATTTTTAAGGATAATTTTTGTTCAAATTTTATCTTTAATGAAAAAATGACTAAATTTTGATTACTTTTGAAACTCCTATTTTTTAATTACCAGTTATAAATCTGAATCTGATTCCCCCCCCCCNTTTTTCCCATATACGTAAACCTTTAGGGCTTGTTTAAGTTTTATCGTAATTGAATTTGAATGTAATTTAATTAATTATACGGTTTGATATGTTTGTTTGCATATGTAATTATTTAGTCAATATGAATTAAGTATAATTGAAATAAAGTAGTTACATTCCTCAATTCTTAAATGGGACAAATTGATGATAATTAGGCGATGACATTCAAATTCTTGTTTTTTCTTTTTAAAACATAATAAAAAGGGAATTTCCCTCCTCTCATTTGTCTCTCAAAATGTATTTTATTGCCCCTAATTCCATTCCAGGTACCCCTTTCCTCTTTAATTCTTTTTCTTACTTATTTCATACGTTCTCTTACCGTAACTTTTTTTGGTTTTAGCCATAGAGTATTCTTGTTGTTGCTTCGGTTTCATGTCCTCCTTTTTCTCTTTCTTTATTTGCATATTTTCTTGCTTTTATTTTTTTTATTATATACGTAGATTGTAGCACTTTGCAACTTCTTATACTTTATTCTTCTTTATTTTTCCTTATTTCATTTTTCAATAAATATTATGCTTTGTTAATTAATTTAAAATGCTCTTTTTATTTTTCCTATATCGTATACAACAGCATATCATGTGTAATCTCTCAAGTAGGATCTGGCAAGAGTAGTTTGTACAGAAATCTTATTCGTATCTTGTTTTGTATCATATGACACTCAAAATAACCAATTATGTATAGGGCATACCAAGAAATTACTATTATTCGTTGCATAATAC